ACTTGGGCCTTTATCTCCAGGCCCTACGCTAGCAAACAGCAGCTCTGGCAGGGCTGGAAGGGTGTGGGCACATAACAGGCATTCGTACTGCAGTGTATAAACCCCCGCCGCGCCCTGTCTGCGCTACAGCTCTGCTGCCACTGCCCCAGGACTAACCACCTGGCCGGGGAGATACAGCTGGGGACCTGCGAGTGCTGATTCAGCCACTGGGACACGGGCATCTCCTGCTGGGCACCCCCCACCGTGGGCGTTGCTTGTCCTGCCCAGCTAGTTCTCCAGGCATGCTGCTGGTGCCAGGGCATGGCCCCCCTCCTGCTCCTCCCCACAGGCCCAGCCCTCACTGACAGCTGCAGCCCTTGCTGCCTGGTCCCCCCAGCCACATGCATGGGGCATGGCATTTACCAGTGCCTGGCTTCCTTCACCAGTGTAGAGAGCACCCATCCCCAGCCGCTTTATAGCTGCACCATCCGGCCCCCGACCCCTCACCCTCAGGTGCTGGAGCTCAGGGGCTGCCCCTCCCTGCAGCCAGAGCACTGCTGGGAGGTAGAACAGGCACAGCTCAGGGAAGGCACTAGAGCCCCACCCAAGAGTGGGGAGGGCAGGCAAGAGGCCGGTAATGCAGGCAGGCAGGGCCCCACAGCAGTGTTGTGCAAGTGGGAGCCACCCTCCAGAACACCAGCGAGACCCGCCAGCGTTCCTTCATTCCCTGCACTCACCCCCCTGAGCAAACTGAGCAGAGAGGGCCGGCGGCATCCCACCCAGCAGCAGGGCAAGACGTGTGTGCCACCGCCCCGTGTCTAAGCTCGCAGACTGCGGGCTGGGGAGCTCCACAGGGCCTGAGGCTGGTCCAGCCCCAGTAGCTGCTGCATGCCCCTCCACACCTAGATTCAGCATAGCTGCAGATCCCCATCCCCTGCAGGCTGGAATGCAGAGACAGCTGCAGAACTGGGCTCCCTGCACCCAGCGCAAGCTTCCTGCAGCCTGTCCCCTGCAGAGCAGCCCCCGTTGGCTCGCTGCCTTCAGGGCGCTCCATGCCCATTCAGTGGGGGGGGCATTCCCATCATCAGGCAAAGACGCTAACAACCCTTTGCCCTTCTCGAAGAGGATCTTACAGCAATTGGCAAACAGTCCCAGCACCTCAGCAGTGCCCTGGGAAACAGGCAACATTTCTACGTCCTCGGAGGAAAAACTGAGGACAAATCACTTGCCCTGTGCCTAGGTAGAGCCAGAAACAGAACTCAGGAGTCCTGGCTCCAGCTCCCCATCTCTTACCAGTACAGCACTCCCAATACAAAGAAAGCTAGGAGAGCCACAACAAATAGCAAGGCCCTAGGAGAGGAACTGATAGGTAGTGGCTAGAGCAGGGGACTGGGAATCAGGAATCCTGGGATCGATTCCCAGTTTTGCTAATGCCTTGCCATGTGGTCTTGGGCATATCACTTCCCTGCTCGGTGCCTCAGTTTCCCCATGTGTAAAGCAGGGGTGACACTGCTGTAGCATGCGAGGCACTATGTGCTCTGTGGATGGAGGATGCTAGAGAAGGGCAAAGTATGACTGACACACACAGCCCGCTGCCAAGTGAGCAGCCTCACCCCTTGGCCACATGGATCCAAGGGCCTGGCCGGTGTGCTGCATACTGGCAGGACCATCCCATGCAGCGTGCATGCAGGGGGGATGGGAGGGGATGGGGAATGGGAGAGGATTTAGCAGGGGCTAGAGCAGTGTCCCAAGCCTCCCCCACGGAGCAGGAGCAATGCTCTGGCTGGGAGCTGGGCAGGCTGCTCCACACTACAGCACCCTGCTGGGAGCCAGCCCGGGGGTCACCCCTGCACTAAATGGTGCTGTCCCGGGAGAACAGGGACCCATGGGTGTACTAAGGGATGCCCCATTGTGGGGGTGAGTTCAGCTCCTGGCAGGGCTGGCTCCAGGCACCAGCTTATCAAGCAGGTGCTTAGGGTGGCCAAGGGAAAGGGGCGGCACCTGCGGCAATTTGGGGGCGGCAGGTCCCTCACTCCCTCTAGGAGCGAAGGACCTGCCGCTGAACTGCCACCACCGATCATGGCTTTTTTTTTTTTTGCTTGGGGCGGCAGAAATGCTGGAGCCGGCCCTGGCTCCTGGGTGGGGGATGCTACAGACAGACGCAGAATGGGCCTGAACCTGAGCTCCAGCTCCTGCAAACCAGCACACCCCACTGATAGCAGGGGGTCGCTCTGACCTACAGCAAACGAGAACAGGATCCCGCCCCACCGGGCCGTCACCCAGCAGCCACCCCCACCCGCAGGCCGTGTCCTGTCCCGACGGCGTTTTCATGAGGGGATCACACAGCAGGAAAGTCCAGCCAGCCCGGGAAAGCAGGACTCATTCACACCAGCCCCTGCTCACCCACCTCCAACTGACCGCAGACAGCCTGGCCTTGCTGTCCCCAGACACCTCCCCCATCCAGCTGGGATCTCGCATCCGCGGGGCCCACACGTGTTCTGCGCCAGCACTGGGAATGCAGAGTGACCAAAGGCTGGGGAGCACCGGGGGCTGAGCATGCCCAGGCAGAATGTCCCTTTTCTCCTTGGCCCGTTCAATGCACCCTGAGTGCCAGTCTCTGACCCCAGCCGTCCCTGGCAGCGCTCAGCTGCTGGGGAGAAAAGGGACCTGGGTGCTAAATATGGGAGTGGTTAGAAAGAAGACTGACTCTACAGCTTCTCTTGCAGCTATGCATGGGGAGGGACACTTCTCGCCCCCTGAGCAGTCAGCCTGCGGGGGAACAAGGCCAGCTTTGGGGCACAAGCGACAGTAATACCATCCTGGTGCCTTAACAAGCCAGGTGCCTCCTACCCAGTCCCCAGCCGCTGGGTGTCATCAGCACCAAGCCACTGTACTGCACCCTCCTCACTGAAGCCTCGGCACTTACCTCGCTGCTGCAGCCGTGCCATGCGTAGCATCCCAGGCTCTTTCTCTCCCCTGGCCATCCCTCCACCTGGGGCTGAAGTATTTATAGTGGAGCTGGACTGACGGCTGGCAAATATTTGGTAGCTGTATTGTAATAGTAGACTCAGTAAACAGAGCTTTGGTTTGCTTTAGCGCCCAGCAACCAGAGAACACTGCAGCAAGGGAGCCAGTGGGACGGAAGATAGGGCTCACCTTAATGGTTGACTTCCCAGGGGATTTTCAAGTGTTGTTCCTGTAGATTCACCTATTAAATCTGCAGTCACAGCTGCCAAACCGCCCTGCACACTTGTGCAGAGGGCTCTTATCTCCGCTGCTGATTGGAGGCGAAATCAAGCTTTGTCAAACAGGCGTAAAATTAAATTTCATGCTATTTTGACTCCTGGAGTAGGCATCTTCTGAAGAACATAATGCTCATCAAACAAGCCCTGTGCAAATACTGGCCACACTGGGCAAGGGACATGCCCTAGATGGGGGCCTCCCCATTAGAAACAGCCTCTCAAATCAGCTTCAGGACTAGAGACAGCCCAGCCGCCTGTGATCTGTTGTGTTCGTTTGGATGGAATAAGGGGCCCACAGGTGCTAACAGAACCCAGTCACTGTCCAATATTAACAGTGTTAAACAAGGTTTGGGGTTTGGCATACAGAGACCTCTGCCTGCTTAGTGCCATGGTGCAAACACGCCATTAAACAGGCTTTGAACCTTTTATTAAAAATACAGATGGAAAACCAATAAAAGGGTCTGAAATATAAAATATTAAGAAAGGCTTTAATTTCAGCAACATCCTTAGCTGGCGAGAGTCTTTCAAAGAGAGAATCCCTTCTCTGGCAGTGTTTTCATTGGTCTTTTTGGGGAAAGGGAGCTCGCTGAGCCCGCTGGAGCTGTCGTTGCTGTTAAAGTCCAGTCCTGTTTCCTAGAAGACAAAACAAGACACGCACCAGGGGAGAGAGAAGAACAGCAGAGAGAAGATGCAGCTTTGGGCACCGCTATTGGCTTTCACATGCAGCATTAGTGCGGGAAAACACGGGCCATGCCCGCAGCCTGATCAGTCACCCCTAGAGCTGGGAAATGGGTACCAGAGGCAGACTGTTTAGGGCAGGGGTTGTCAACCTTTCAGAAGTGGTGTGCCGAGTCTTCATTTATTCACTCTAATTTAAGGTTTCGCGTGCCGGTAATACATTTTAACGTTTTTAGAAGGTCTCATTCTATAAGTCTATAATATAGAACTAAACTATTGTTGTATGTAAAGTAAATAAGGTTTTTAAAATGTTTAAGAAGCTTCATTTAAAATTAAATTAAAATGCAGAGCCCCCCAGAGCGGTGGCCAGGACCCGGCCAGTGTGAGTGCCACTGAAAATCAGCTTGCGTCCCGCCTTCGGCACGCATGCCATAGGTGCCTACCCCTGGTTTAGGGCATTGCTGTCAGCTTACAGCAGGGTTGCAAAACAGGCTGTCCCCCAGGAGATGGCTGCCATGATGGTGAAGTTTGCTCCTTCTCCTCCTGTCTTCCAGTGTCACCACAGCCAGCTTTCCCCCACAAAACCTCTTGGTAAGAAGGCACGGCCGGCGGAACAGCCCATCCCCTCAGGGTTATGTTCACTCATTAGGCCTAATTACTGACACACCAATTTTGCTCCATTGATTTCTGGTCCCGCATGTCTCGTTTCCCAGGCATGATCATAACACAGCTCTTGAATTATCATGAGACCTTTTGGTTTAGACTAATTCAGCCCGCCTCCCTTTTGCCCGTCACCATTTGTTATCAGTTCTTGTGACGGTTTGTGGACTTTCCCTCACTTCTTACAGTGGAGCTCGCACTTCGAGTACACGGGTAGGCCCAGTTATCACAGCAGAGCTACAGACACAGGGCTCCATTCATCTCTTCCTACACCAGGGCAGCTCTACTGATGTGAGTCCGCTCACTCCAGAGTAGCAGGGAGCATCCTGCAGCCTTTCTAGACACTCCCGGTTTAACCAGATGACACCCTGGGCATGGGGGCCGCAGTGGAAGTGCCAGGCTAGGCCCAGAGTCAGATCTTGGCTCCCGACTCTCACCCTTTGCCATCATATTCCCACTGCCCGAGACACTGGCTCTGAAACGTTCCAGATAAAAGCAAGGAACTCATTTATCAGTTCCCTGCGCAAGAATCATTTCACCCCCAAATGTACTGGGGCTAATTAGCTGCTGAAGTATTTCGTTAGCTTGTCCGGCTTGCGCCCACACAAGCTGGTGTGATCGGAAGCCCAGGACTAATGGTTTAGTAAGTGATTACTGGGAAAGCTCAGCCCCTGGTGTAATTGATTTATTGGTGGGAGTGGCTATTGTAAATCACAGATAACAGCCTCATAATTTTAATTAGTAAACACCCAGGTGGAGAACACAGCAGCTTTGTTATCTGGCCTCGGCCTAGTCTTGTGTTGCAAACCCTCCGCTGGGGGAACACCACCGCCCTCTGCTGGCAGGGCACAGCACAGCTCCAGAGTGTGCTGAATTCCTGGGGGACTCAGCCTTCTCCAGCAGCATGCACCCTCACCACAGCCCCCGGCTTCCCAGCCCAGCCTAGGAACGGACAGGCCTTAATGAGCTGCCCTGACTGGGGGGCATAGCGGGCAGCCAGCCCCACAATTCCTGGGATTAGCACAGCCCCCCCTCCCCTCCACGGCCTCTTCTAAGAAGCAGCGTGGCAGACAACCCAGACGCAGGAGGGGGACAGTCCCAGCGGGGACTCATTGCTTTACAGATGAGGTGTTTGAGTTAAAGGGCTCCAGTTTCCAAGGGCATCCTGACTTCAGGACTGGGACGTTAACATTTCCCCGTGTTTTGGGCCCAGAGATTGCCATTGGCATGCTGGGTGCACAGCCCCTCCCACAAGGCCCCACTCACATTCGGGCCAGGCGCTGGGTGCCTGGGTGCTGCGTGCGCACAAGCTACAGGGAGCCTGGTGTCAGGGAATCCCATGGGAGAATCTCTGCAGGAGGTTAGCCCAGCTCCCAGCTCTGCACGCAGCCGGCTTCCCACTGTCTGTCTGCTCCTGTCTTCCCCGCTACCCACAGGACCTGCTGCCTACAGGGGTGGCACTAGCCTGGTGAAGCCAGCCAAAGCCAGCAGGCAGGCAGACAGACACAGACACACAGGGATGGACAGTCTGCTTAGGGAGCAGGGGGCTGAGGCTGCAGGCGCCAGCCTTAGCGGGCGAGGCCTCCTGGGGCTGACTCTGCTTTTCTTCTCTCTTTCTTGCTTGTTGGTGTCATTCGACTTTCCCATCCGCCCCGTGG